AACAAAAATTTTCCTTTATAAATTCCTTTAGAAAAAATTTTTTCTCAGTATAATAAAAATAAACTGCATAATATCATACTCGTATATGAATAAAAGCTTTTTGAGGAACCTTTGAAAATTCGAAATGTTAATTAACACCTTTTTATATTTTGTATATGAGATTTAAAAGAAATATTTTGTTAAGATTATGCGAGTACCTTTAACTATATATATTCCATCATACCAATATATGATGGGAAAAAAATTTTATTATAAAATTCTTAAATATACTTTTGTTAAAGGTGCCAATACTGCAGCTATATTTTGAGAAAAGAATTTTTGTATTTTCTTTGATTGATGAAAAAAAAAATTCTGTTAATGTATTTTAAATCGATTTTTATATTTTCATTTTCGAAAAATACTTATTTTTCGAAATGACTTCAGAGAATAATGATACAAGTACGATATAATGTAGATAGCCTTTATAATATATGACCTTTATATATTTTACGATAAAATTGTAAAATGATTCATTTAAGAGTATGAAAGAGGAAATCTAGCAAATTAAAGTAATTTTTTTTATGTGTCTAACTTAAATTCGAAATATTTTAAGAAGGAAGAAAATTCTCAAGCTCTTAAGCAATTATACAAACTGGAAGGCAAAATATATACATTTCAAAAAAATTGTAAGCATGTAGGTTTTTTGATTAAGCTAGCTAAACAAAAATATTTTAATTTTTGGTATTGCAGCCGTCGGCAAAGTGCAGCATGCAGACAATTCAATTTGCGACAAAAATGCGGTACTTCATTTTTATGCTTGCACGAAAAAATTACGTTATATTCGATTGTGACTGTTCAAAATTTTCCAAAAAAACATTTAAGAATTCTAAATCATAGATAATATACAATATATTTATAGGTACATAAAATTCCATACGAATCTATTTTTTCTTCAAAAGAAAATAATCAATAAAGTCCAATGAAAATTGATCATTATGAAAATTCTTCTTGTAAGTAGATAATGTAAGAAACTCGAGTGGCCCATACTCATACTCAAATAGCGCATATTTGTCGACAAGCAGCAGAAGCATGCCAACGGTTGGTTTACCAAATTACCACATTTGAATTTTCCTTCTTCGAACTTTAACAATTATTTTTAAAGCATAAACATACATAATAATTGTTTAAATATACAAGAGGAGTTTTTATATTAGATTTTATTTCAGAGGTATGAAATAAATTGTTTTTAAAAAAATCTTTGTGCAAAACAATAATAATCAAGATTTAACATTTAATTAAATTGAACTTTTATATAAGTAACATGTTTTTCGACTCTAAACATTTAAAATTTCAAAACCGTGCATATTATATAATAAGATTAGGTATCTTGCAAGTATATAGTTTTATGAAATTCTTTTCTAAAATTATTCAAGATCAAAATATTCAATTTTTTTTTTGTGAAAGACCTAGCATGAGAATGTACTAATAAAGTTCAAAAAAAATATTATTTTTGTCATCAAACATAAAATGAAAATGCCACCATAATTAAAATTTAATAAAAAACTTATTGTCTTAATTAATATTAAACTAAACTGAATAAAGTAATTAGTATGCTAATTGAAAAGAGAAAATAAGAAAAAGAAACCAAAAAAAATGAAAACAATAGCAATTGAAGTTTCAATTAAACAAAAGTAAAAATAAAAACAAAAAATCTTATTTTATATACCAATTTATAATCCAATATTGAATTAAATACAAAAATCATAAGTAAAATCAGCTACCAACCAGATCAAATCAGTTTTAATTAAAAACAAAAATTTATGATGGCATAAATTATAATTGTAAATTAAGTGAAAATTTTTGCTTATATGCAAGTTCCTAATTTAATTAAACTGTTATACTATATCAGTTATATGAATAGTGAAATTAAAATACTTTCTGTGTGTTATTCTTCGATTATTTGATCTGATTTATTTCTTTCAGTTTTTTAAGAAAATGTAATTATTTTTGGGAAAATAAGTTAATTCTTATACCAGTATATTTTCGTATGTATCCTACACTGTTCAAGCAACAATTGTTATACATACATTATAAACTTTCCATGTACCATCGAAATTCATTTACGCATGTATGTATGTAAGTATTTTGAAGAGAATTTTTCTTTAAACAAAATTCTTTAGTTTCAAGTTCAATTATATTTTTCTTGATTTCACGACCAGGTTCCAAGTACATATAGAATTTTTTAAATAATTTACATATTATTATCAAACATGGCAAATAATTAATTATCTCATTTGCATATTTACAATATTTTTAATAGAATTTTGCAATACAATATTGTTAAAATTTTTTATTTTAATTAACAATATGATCCGGGAACTGGAATTAGTTATAATTATTTTTAAATTTACAAAATACACTTAACATACACATCTTAAATACATACATTATGTAAGAAATATTGTGAATAATAATTGAAACAAAATACTAAATTTTTGCCTTTTATAAAATACTTATGTGTCTTTAATTAGTTGATTTAAGACCTTAATATTTTGTTATACAAAAATTGTTTCCATAATAAATACGGAACAACTAAATCGAATATTTTAGCAGTAACTATAAAAATAATGGGAATTATATGTTATATTACATTTTCTTTTTAAAAAAAAAAATCAAAAAACCACAATCCTAAATGCTGTCTAAGAAAAGAACAGGAATCACATAAAAGATTAAAAATATAAAATATGCAATATATTTACCTATTTACATACATACATACTTATTTTTTTTTTGTTATATAAGACTTCATAGAGTACGGACCATTATTTTCTTTTATATTCTTAAATTACAGTTGGTCACTTAACTGTGAGATACAAAATAGAATGAAACCAAAAATAATCTTGGTGATTGTATAAAAATAATTCAAATTTTTTAAAATTAACGTAGAAAATTTTGATTCAATATCAATTTAAAATTAAAAGAAAACAATTTTAGTATTAAGACCTCAGATATGGCCGCATAATCGCTATGTTGTAAAACATGAACTCCGAATTTTATTTTTTTTGGTTTTGTTTTAGATGTATGATTTACCTATATTAAGAAAATGAAGCTTTTAATTAAATTACTACAACAAAACTCGTTTAAAAGAAAAACAACAGCAATATTAAATAATATGTAACAAACGGTTTAAGACCTTGGCGTATCTGTAAAAATGCTACAAATATAGATACATATAGTGAAATATATGCACAATTACAGTACCTGTATGTATTTTGTTTTAATAAAGTATTGCACCAAGAACCTTGTTAACCGGCAAAAATTTCATCTTGAAATGAAAAATTCATGAAAAAAGAGTTAATACCTTAAAAGGTCAATTCAGAATAAGTCAAAAGGTCGGAATTTGAAATTATTACAAAAAAAAAAAACAAAATATTATCACCGAAACAAAACCAAATCTTTATATTAACGTACATTTATAATATTACATATGTATATGTATATAATATACAATTAGACATACAAATATACATACAGAGATCTACATTAAATAAAATTGAATTATGGGGTAATAACTATAATTTAGTTTGTAATGCAATATCAATCTCTTATACACAACTTACCGTAAAAACTACAAATTTTAATTTCATTTTCTCAAAAACTAGAAACAATCATAAGCATATTGCAATTGCAACAAAAAATCTGTTTCAAGATAAAGTTGGGTCAAATCAATGGTTTCTAAAGTAGCACGTTTCTGTTCAACTGCTCTAAAAAATCATTACACTATTTAAATTATTTTCATTCATATACTAAAATATTCAAAGATTGCATACATTTAGGATGATCAATGTATGAAATCTCTATAATGAAAAAAATTTAAAGAGGCGTTAACATAATGCTGCACCAATTTAAGGGTTAATTACGTGAAATAAGAAAAATAATTACACATACTTTTTGTTGGCATAACATTTCTTGTTATCACTCTGCTTTTATAAAAATTTAAATATTCACTTTCGGAAATACATATATGATGCTGAAAATTCGAATTTTCCAAATTTCGAGATTTTGAGGAGTGAAGATGGAAAAAAATTTTCTGACGAAATAAGTCTAATTAATATCTAAAAACTATAAAATTTCAGACTTCTAGAATTTACTTTTTGGAAGAAAACAATTTCTAATTAATTGATTTTTTAAGCATATTTTAAAATTTCCCATATTAGATTCACTAATGCAATTGAGCGAAATTTCGATTCAGTTGTGCGCAAAAAAATATATAATTTTGGTGACCACAGTTATTCGGGGATTTTCCCTTACCGTTAGCAACCAAGTTATGGGAACAATACAAAAATAAACATTTTTTTTGTATAATTTCTTTAAGGACACACATAAACTGTTTTTATTAAATTAACCGTCAATTAAAATAAAAGTGAAAAGGAAGATTAAGCCAAAATATATTTAAAAATTTTTAAAACGTGTAACTAAATGTTCTTTTTTCCAGTAATTTTTTTTGAAAAGGCTGACATTGAGTATGGTTGAACTTAGGTATTGTTAGTATGGACTTCCCTACTAGTCTCAATTTATCAAAAATTGGAACCACCATACTTCGCTGAGATTAAATTGATTGCTAGATACAAACATCTTAAGGATGTGTTTTTACTTTATACTTTTATTTAGAATCATGTCCACAGGTTCAACTTTTCGAACCGTGGACATGGAATCTGTAATTACAAGCGATAGGTACAAAGTCCCATTTTACTTTTCAATGTCAATTGTGTCGTTTACTTTTCATCTTTTATTATATTGAACATAAATAGATATTGCGACTCCTAATTTGCTTGGTACAATTTTTTAAATTATGTTGGTCTATTACCATCTTCGTAATACAAGTAATTATGTGTATCGAGTTAGAAACTGGATCTATTAAGTATTAAATTTAAATTCCAGTTGACAAAATATTCTTTTATCATTGCTAAATTTGCTTTTTCTCTATTCTGATTTTTATTAGCACACGCAAACTTTACTAATAGTTTTTAAATAAAAATAAACTTTATTAAAGTTCTTTACTTGTATGTTTTTATTAAAAATTAGATAATCAGCTTATATCCTTGATGGGTAGAGCATCTGAAAAAAATGAGAAAAGGGTAGAATACTCGGAGCATTTGTTAACCAATATAAAAAATTATGTATTTACTTACAATACGAATTCTGTGTCCCATAGCATGACCGGGTAAATTTCTACGGAATCTAGCACGCACACAACCTGTGTTTCCATGTAATCTTGTAACTTTACCCCAAATAGCACGTAATTTTGTTTTTCTTTTTGGGTGTTGTGGAACACATTTACGTGTTTTGGCTTTATAAACATAAACACAACGTTTACCTACATAAAATAAGCCATGTTCTTTTCTGCGGCATCCTTCAATCTAAGTTAAATATGTTTGATTACTTATGATAACAATAACTGGACATATCTTACCTTAAGAATAACTTGATTTTCATGCTGATTTCTCATACCACGTTTGTAGCCTGTAAATACGGCTTTAGCAAAAAGACGTCCGTGTCTTTTTAATGGTCTAACATGTTTCTCAAAAGTTTTTTCTACTTTTTCTGGTTTAGCCTTTGGAGCTTTAGGTGCAGCTGCAGGGGCAGCCGGTTTTGTAGCAGTATCCGCCATTTCTACACAAATAAATTTTAATTATTAAAAAACTTGCAGCTTCATAATATTCAATATGCAAATAGGTGAGAAATTGTTTACAATGGCAAACAGCTCTTTTATATCTTTAAATATCTCAAAATACATCAATTATTGCCATCTTTTCATAAAATATAATTACAACACAAATATTTTTCTTTGCTATTTGCATATTATTTAAAAATATATCAAAAAATTATGTTAGTTATTTTACTTAAAATTTAATGTTAAAAAAAATCCACAACGTACCGGAAATTTACAAAAGGTGAAAGAAAGGATGACAGCAGTATTCAAATGACTTTGACATTTGAAATCATATTGTGTTGCAGCGCCAGTTTTTGGTTTAGTGACTATTCCAAGAAACATAATTATTTTCATAAAAAACAACGGTAATATATTTTTACGATATATTGAAACTCAAATTTGTGTTCATTTTTCCACAATTCATCCACTATTCAAATTGGTCCTTCAATATATTGAAAAGCACGTTGATCGCACTTCAACATTATTTCAATTTTTATACCTACAAAAATAAATTCAACAGAATGTGGTAAGTCTTTCCTATACTCAAAATTGACATTAATGTGAAAGATTATCAAAACAAAAATACCGCTAAAAAGATTGCCGCATTGACTAATTAGTCTAGTAGTTGTTTGAAAACACAATACAAAAGTCTGTTTCAGCTTAACCTAACACAATTAGTAAAACTGATTGAATTTAACTTCGAATGTTAATAATAATTTTAGTGAGTGAAACTTTATAATTTGTAATTAATGAAATGCAAGACATTATTTTTATATGTCTTGTGAAATTTTTATATTGATTAAGATCCATAAACCATTTTCACCAAAACAAAATAAGCAAAAGAATTATTTTGTAAAGTTAAACTTATTATTTTGTAAAGTTATAACAATCTGAAAATAGTTTTAATGTAATATTTTAAGTACGTCTTCTACATTTATAGAACTTACTTTAATTTAACATTAACTTATGTATGTATACCTATAAAATAATATTAAAAATATCTCGCACTAAAAATTTGTAATTAATTTTTAGCAACTGGCAAGCCGTAAAAGAAACGCCATAATTTATTTTCTTGATGTTTAAATTGACTGTGAATCGGAAACGTTTGCGAGATTTGCAAGAAAAATTAAATATTTATTCATAAATTTCATCTAAAATACTTAAAAAAATTGGAATTAAAGCAATAATCTGGTAGGAGGCCATAATTTTAAATAATTACGTTTATAAAAAATGGTTTGTTTAAATATTTTAGATTTGTATGTGCAGAAGACGTGTGTTTGTCTCAAAGTTTTTATATGTAGCAATAGCTTGATTAGGACGAAGTATTGGAAACTTACTAAAGATCTAAAATGGCTGGTATGCCACCATATATGCTACCGCCCAACCCTTGGGCGGCTCAAATTCTCGCAGCAGCTCAGCAACAAATGCAAGTAATGGCGACGCAGCAAATTCAAATGCAGCATACAGGTGCACCTCCTGGAACACCTATTAATAGTCAGCAACCTCCCCTTGGCGTAATACCACCTCCAAAACAGGATTTTATTAACGAAGATAAACTACAAGAAAAAGCTTTAAAATGGCAACAATTACAATCTAAGAGGTTTGCTCCAAAAAGAAAATTTGGTTTTGTTGATGCTCAAAAGGAAGATATGCCACCTGAACATATTCGAAAAATTATACGAGATCATGGTGATATGACTAGCAGAAAATACCGTCATGATAAACGAGTTTATTTAGGAGCCTTAAAGTATATGCCTCATGCTGTTTTAAAATTATTAGAAAATATGCCAATGCCGTGGGAGCAAATACGTGATGTTCAAGTTTTGTACCACATTTCTGGCGCAATAACATTTGTCAACGAAATTCCATGGGTAATTGAACCAGTTTATATTGCGCAATGGGGTACAATGTGGATTATGATGAGAAGAGAAAAACGTGATAGAAGACATTTTAAAAGAATGCGATTTCCACCGTTTGATGATGAAGAACCTCCTTTGGATTACGCAGATAACGTGTTAGATGTAGAACCTTTAGAGGCAATACAAATTGAATTAGATACCGAAGAAGATGCTCCAGTCTATAAATGGTTTTATGAACACAAACCTTTGATTGGTACGCCATATGTTAATGGACCAACATATCGTAAATGGAATTTAACATTACCTCAAATGGCTACATTATATAGATTAGCTAATCAACTTTTAACTGATTTAGTTGATGATAATTTTTTTTATTTATTTGATCCGAAAAGTTTTTTTACTGCTAAAGCATTAAATATGGCTATACCGGGTGGTCCGAAATTTGAACCATTAATCAAAGATCATAATATTGGTGATGAAGATTGGAATGAATTTAATGACATTAATAAAGTTATAATTCGGCAACCTATTCGAACTGAATACAGAATTGCTTTCCCATATTTATACAATAATATGCCACATTTTGTACATCTTTCATGGTATCACACACCTAATGTTGTTTACATAAAAACGGAAGATCCAGATCTACCAGCATTTTATTTTGATCCTTTAATAAACCCGATTTCTCATAGACATACAAACAAAATATTAGAACCAACAATAGATGATGATGAAGAATTTGTTCTACCAGAAGAGGTGCAACCATTTTTACAAGATACTCCATTATATACAGATAATACTGCAAATGGAATATCTTTATTATGGGCACCAAGACCCTTCAATATGCGATCTGGTCGTTGTAGACGTGCTTTAGATATTCCCTTAGTAAAGGGATGGTATAAAGAACATTGTCCACCTGGGCATCCAGTTAAAGTACGTGTGAGTTATCAAAAATTGTTGAAATATTATGTACTTAATGCTTTAAAGCATAGAAAGCCCAAACCACAGAAGAAAAGGTATTTATTCAAATCATTCAAAGCAACAAAGTTCTTCCAGACAACCACATTAGATTGGGTTGAAGCTGGTTTGCAAGTTTGCAGACAAGGATACAACATGTTGAACCTTCTTATTCATCGTAAAAATTTAAACTACTTGCATTTGGATTATAATTTTAATTTAAAACCAGTAAAAACATTAACTACTAAGGAAAGAAAAAAATCGCGTTTCGGAAACGCTTTTCATTTGTGTCGAGAAATTTTAAGATTGACTAAACTTATCATAGATTCCCATGTTCAATATCGCTTAAACAATGTAGACGCATTTCAACTTGCAGACGGTTTGCAATATATTTTTGCTCACGTTGGTCAACTAACTGGAATGTACAGATACAAGTATAAATTAATGAGGCAAATTCGTATGTGCAAGGATTTAAAACATTTAATATATTATCGATTCAATACAGGACCAGTTGGAAAAGGTCCTGGTTGTGGATTTTGGGCCCCAGGTTGGCGTGTGTGGCTATTTTTCATGCGAGGTATTACTCCGCTTTTAGAACGTTGGTTAGGAAATTTATTATCGCGTCAATTTGAAGGCCGGCATTCGAAAGGAGTCGCAAAAACCGTAACAAAACAAAGAGTTGAATCACACTTTGATTTAGAATTAAGAGCGTCAGTTATGCATGATATCGTCGACATGATGCCAGAAGGTATTAAACAAAATAAAGCAAGAACCATTTTGCAACATTTATCAGAAGCTTGGCGTTGCTGGAAGGCGAATATACCTTGGAAAGTCCCAGGTTTGCCTATTCCTATTGAAAATATGATATTACGTTACGTAAAAATGAAGGCTGATTGGTGGACTAATACAGCACATTATAATCGTGAAAGAATACGTAGAGGGGCAACTGTAGATAAAACTGTATGCAAAAAGAATTTAGGTAGACTAACTAGACTTTATCTAAAGGCCGAACAAGAAAGGCAGCACAATTATTTAAAGGATGGTCCATATATTTCACCTGAGGAAGCTGTCGCTATTTATACAACAACGGTTCATTGGTTAGAATCCAGGCGATTTGCTCCTGTTCCATTTCCTCCACTTTCATATAAACACGACACAAAATTATTAATTTTAGCTTTGGAAAGATTAAAAGAAGCTTATAGTGTAAAATCTCGATTAAATCAAAGTCAAAGGGAAGAGTTAGGGTTAATAGAACAAGCATATGACAACCCACACGAAGCTTTATCACGTATTAAACGTCATTTGCTAACCCAGAGAGCATTTAAAGAAGTTGGTATCGAATTCATGGATTTATACAGCCATCTTATTCCCGTTTACGATGTAGAGCCACTTGAAAAAATTACAGATGCTTATTTAGATCAATATTTATGGTATGAAGCAGACAAAAGACGTTTATTCCCACCATGGATTAAGCCCAGTGACACGGAACCTCCACCACTTCTGGTTTATAAATGGTGTCAGGGCATTAATAATATGCAAGACGTTTGGGATATTTCAGAAGGGGAATGTAATGTTCTTCTAGAATCGAGATTTGAAAAATTGTATGAAAAGATTGATTTAACTTTGTTAAATCGTTTATTGCGTCTTATAGTTGATCATAATATTGCTGATTACATGACTGCTAAAAATAACGTTGTAATCAATTATAAAGATATGAACCATACTAACAGCTATGGAATAATTAGGGGCTTACAGTTCTCCTCTTTTATTACACAATATTATGGTTTAGTTTTGGACCTTCTAGTACTTGGTTTACAAAGATCAAGTGAAATGGCCGGCCCACCACAAATGCCTAATGATTTTTTAACCTTCCAAGATACTACTACTGAAACGGCTCACCCTATCAGATTATACTGTAGGTACGTTGATCGAGTTCATATTTTCTTAAGATTCACTGCTGACGATGCTAGAGACTTAATTCAAAGATACTTAACTGAACATCCAGATCCAAATAACGAGAACATTGTTGGGTACAATAACAAGAAATGTTGGCCAAGAGATGCCCGGATGCGTTTAATGAAACATGATGTTAATTTAGGACGTGCTGTTTTTTGGGACATAAAAAATCGCTTACCGAGGTCAGTTACAACGGTCAACTGGGAAAATACTTTTGTATCCGTATATTCAAAAGATAATCCCAATTTGTTGTTTAACATGTCAGGTTTTGAGTGCAGAATCCTACCAAAATGTCGAACTCAACATGAGGAATTTACACATCGTGATGGTGTCTGGAATTTACAAAATGAAGTGACTAAAGAAAGAACAGCTCAATGCTTTTTGCGAGTCGATGACGAGTCGTTAGGCCGTTTTCATAATCGAGTTCGCCAAATATTAATGGCATCAGGTTCTACGACGTTTACAAAAATAGTGAATAAATGGAACACTGCTTTGATTGGTTTAATGACATATTTTCGTGAAGCTGTAGTGAACACTCAAGAACTCCTAGACTTATTAGTTAAATGCGAAAATAAAATTCAGACTCGTATAAAAATTGGTTTGAATTCAAAAATGCCTTCAAGATTTCCTCCAGTTGTTTTCTACACTCCTAAAGAATTAGGCGGTCTTGGAATGTTAAGTATGGGTCATGTTTTAATTCCACAATCAGATTTAAGATGGTCAAAACAAACTGATGTTGGTATTACTCATTTTCGATCTGGGATGTCTCATGATCAGGATCAGTTAATTCCAAATTTATACAGATATATTCAACCATGGGAAAGTGAGTTTATCGATTCGCAACGTGTATGGGCTGAATACGCATTAAAACGTCAAGAAGCAAATGCACAAAATCGTCGTTTAACACTAGAAGATTTAGAAGACAGTTGGGATCGGGGTATTCCTCGCATAAATACCCTTTTCCAGAAAGATCGCCATACTTTAGCATACGATAAAGGTTGGAGAATTCGTACAGAGTTTAAACAATATCAAGTATTAAAACAAAATCCATTTTGGTGGACTCATCAAAGGCATGATGGAAAATTATGGAATTTAAATAACTATAGAACTGATATGATTCAAGCATTAGGTGGAGTTGAAGGTATATTAGAACATACGTTATTCAAAGGCACATATTTCCCAACATGGGAAGGTTTATTCTGGGAAAAAGCATCTGGTTTCGAAGAATCAATGAAATATAAGAAATTAACAAATGCACAACGTTCTGGTTTAAATCAAATTCCTAATCGTCGTTTTACTTTATGGTGGTCACCAACAATTAATCGTGCAAATGTGTATGTTGGTTTTCAAGTTCAGTTAGATTTAACTGGTATATTTATGCATGGTAAAATTCCAACTTTGAAAATTTCTCTAATTCAAATTTTCCGTGCTCATTTATGGCAAAAAATACACGAATCGATTGTTATGGATTTATGTCAGGTATTTGATCAAGAATTGGACGCTTTAGAAATTGAAACAGTTCAAAAAGAAACTATTCATCCCAGAAAATCTTACAAAATGAACTCATCTTGCGCTGATATTCTTCTGTTCCCTGCTTATAAATGGAATGTGTCGAGACCTTCTCTCTTAGCTGACACGAAAGATACTATGGATAATACAACCACACAAAAATATTGGTTGGATGTTCAATTAAGGTGGGGTGATTATGATTCGCACGATGTCGAACGTTACGCTCGTGCTAAATTTTTAGATTATACAACAGATAACATGTCAATATATCCTTCCCCGACTGGAGTTTTAATAGCAATAGATTTAGCATATAATTTACATTCAGCCTATGGAAATTGGTTCCCGGGTTGTAAAATTCTAATTCAACAAGCAATGGCAAAAATAATGAAAGCAAATCCTGCATTATATGTATTAAGAGAACGTATTAGAAAAGCATTGCAATTATACAGTTCAGAACCTACAGAGCCGTATTTATCTTCTCAAAACTATGGAGAATTGTTTTCTAATCAAATTATATGGTTTGTTGATGATACAAATGTATATCGCGTGACAATTCATAAAACATTTGAAGGTAATTTAACTACGAAACCAATTAACGGGGCAATTTTCATTTTCAATCCGCGTACAGGGCAATTATTTTTAAAAATTATTCATACATCAGTTTGGGCCGGACAAAAACGTTTAGGTCAATTAGCTAAGTGGAAAACGGCTGAAGAAGTTGCTGCATTAATTCGTTCTTTACCAGTAGAAGAACAACCCAAACAAATTATCGTAACTCGTAAAGGCATGTTGGATCCTTTGGAAGTGCATTTGCTTGATTTCCCGAACATTGTTATCAAAGGTTCTGAATTGCAATTACCATTCCAAGCGTGCTTAAAGGTTGAGAAATTTGGTGATCTAATATTGAAAGCTACCGAACCTCAAATGGTTCTATTCAATTTATATGATGATTGGTTAAAGACAATTTCATCATATACCGCATTTTCTAGATTGATTCTCATATTGAGAGCTTTACATGTTAATACTGAAAGAACGAAAATTATATTAAAACCAGATAAAACTACTATTACAGAAGCGCATCATATATGGCCAACTTTAACCGATGAAGAGTGGATAAAAGTAGAAGTACAATTAAAAGATTTAATTTTAGCAGATTACGGAAAGAAGAATAATGTTAATGTAGCATCTCTAACACAATCAGAAATTAGAGATATTATTTTAGGCATGGAAATTTCAGCTCCATCAGCCCAACGTCAACAAATCGCTGAAATTGAAAAACAAACAAAAGAACAAAATCAATTAACAGCGACTACAACTCGTACAACTAATAAACATGGTGACGAAATAATTACATCCACTACGTCAAACTATGAAACACAAACATTTAGTTCAAAAACAGAATGGCGAGTTCGTGCAATTTCTGCTACAAATCTACATCTTCGTACAAATCACATTTATGTCAGTTCAGACGATATTAAGGAAACCGGATATACATATATCTTGCCTAAAAATATTTTAAAAAAATTTGTTACAATATCAGATTTGCGAGCTCAAATAGCCGGTTATTTGTATGGTGTTAGTCCACCTGATAATCCTCAAGTAAAAGAAATTCGTTGTATAGTTTTACCGCCACAGTGGGGTACACATCAAACTATAAATCTACCCAATCAATTACCCCAACATCAATATCTCAAAGATATGGAGCCTTTAGGATGGATACATACACAACCTAATGAATTGCCACAATTATCGCCACAAGATATTACAACACATGCCAAAATAATGTTAGATAATGCAACATGGGATGGAGAAAAAACCATTGTTATTACATGTTCATTTACACCTGGTTCGTGTTCATTAACGGCGTATAAGTTAACTCCATCGGGCTTTGAATGGGGTTCGAAAAATACAGATAAGGGAAATAATCCAAAAGGCTATTTACCATCACATTATGAACGAGTGCAAATGTTACTTTCGAATAAATTTTTAGGTTTCTTTATGATACCTGCGCAGGGTAGTTGGAATTATAATTTTATGGGAGTTCGTCACGATCCAAACATGAAATACGAATTACAATTAGCAAATCCAAAAGAATTTTATCATGAATTACATAGACCTTCACATTTCTTACTTTTTTCAAATCTTGAAGATGGTGGGGATGGGGCTGGGGCAGATCGTGAAGATGTTTATGCTTAAAATTTTATTTTACTTTTCACTAAAATATAAAAATTGTGTTAGATTATTTTTAACATATATACAAATTTATAATAATAATAAAATGTGTATTAGAGTAATAAAGAAAAAATACAAAGTAAATGTAAACCAAGCAGATTTTCAATGAGAACAATTTTCTTTATTTTAAGTTAAAAACTTTGAATTCTTTTTAGAAATAAGCATTACAGGCAGGAGTAAGTGTAGAAATAGGAAAAACTGAAGCTATTAGGATTCTTTATTAAAGATGTTAAAACATTTTCTGTTCAAAACACGTTAATATTTTTAAAATAAATAAAACCAATCATAAACATAGAATTTCCAGTTGTGAAAGGGATCGGGGAAAAAAATGAAAAGGTTCGCATATTTGCATAAGATCATTCTAATTGTTTTAGTATTTTTTTTTAACAAAATTTAGGAGATAAATTTAGGAAAAAAAATTTTGAGCTTTTTAAATATAAATTTTTAGTCAGAATTTCATTCGGATTCAAAATATTTTTCGATAACGTCTCTAAAATAAAAGTATAATTTAGGTTATTTTTTGTAAAAAATGTTAGTTAAAACTTTCTTGTTCTGCGATCGCGATGCTGTGTTAAAATTAAAGCGACTTGTCAAAAAATTTAATTATAGTTCTAGGTAAAACAAAAAAAATAACGCTTGCTAGACAAGTCTTAACTTGCTTTTTAGATGACCGAATTGTAATTTGATACAGTGTCATGTTCGGTCCAATTGTTTTTATCAATAAAATTGCATATAAGCAAAAATACTTCAAATTTAATAATACCAATAATCTGCTGAAACGAAATGCGTTTTCATTTCTAAAGTAAACGCGTCGCCATTTTTATGCTGTTCAGGTTCCTGAATGACATTTCTAATTTGATATTTTGTGTTTGACATTTTTACTTGCAAATTTTTGACATTTTCGTTAGTTTATTTAATCCTTGTTGGTTAAAAAGATTTTACCAAATCACAATTCTTTCGCCGCATCAGCATTGATGTATGAATAGTTTTAATAAAGTAAACATTAACGATGAAAATGGAAATAAAAAGTACCTTAGGAAATATTTTTTTATATTTTATGCTATTTTTATTAGCATTAGTTTACAGAGTAGAAGGTGAGTTACATTTATTATACTCTGAAAGTATACCAAAATATCTGACGTGTATTTATTTCAGTGTGATTAATTATAAAACTTATCATGTCTAATATTTTACAAAAAAATTAATCAGATATTGAATCTTTATTTTTTATACTTTTAGGAAACAAATCTAGATATGTAACCTGCGGATCTCTTATAAAATTGATGAATTATGATTATAGCTATAGACTTCATTCCCACGATGTTAAATATGGTTCAGGGTCTGGCCAGCAATCAGTAACAGCAGTAGATTTAAAAGAAGATGTTAATAGTCATTGGTATGTAAAATCCAAAATAAAAAAAACTTGTGAACGAGGTGAACCTATAAAATGTGGTGATATTATACGTTTGGAACATTTAACAACGAAAAAAAATTTGCACTCGCATTATTTTTCATCACCACTAGCTGGGGAACAAGAAGTCTCCTGTTACGGTGATGATGGAGAAGGTGACACTGGTGACCATTGGGAAGTTATATGCTCTGGTGATAATTGGGAACGTGTAACACCAATTCAGTTAAGACATACGGACACTGGTGCATATTTGGGTATAACTGGGAGGACATTTGGTCGACCAATAAGTGGTCAAATGGAAGTAGCAGGTTTTAGTGGACCTACACGTGGCACAAGATGGGTAACACAAGAAGGTTTATATATAATGCCAAAAGAAACCAAAGATGAAATCAGACATGACGAATTTTGATTAGCATAAATAATTTTTCTTTGTGATTTATAAAAAGAATATTTTGTGCCCGATGTGCTCACCTAATTAGTTTTATAATTATTTTGTTTTTAATATAATTTAGTAAAATACAACTTTAATGAAAAAAAAAAAGATAATTTTTGTAAATAATTACAAGATGAAGTCCTTTTTATGATTCAATTGTACAAATAGATTTTTAAAGAGGCTCTTATAAAAAAAGCTCGCACGTGTGAGAAATAAATTTGGTAAAAATGTACATTACTTTTTAATTTCAGATATTTTCTCAATACAATCAATTACTTAATTAAGAGGCGTAAAGTGTTTGAGAACAAATTGTTGTCACTTCCCACAAAAATACTTACCAGCCCATCAAAATTAAACGACTGGATGTTATTTTTGTTGCAAGTGGCCACCAAACAATTAAGAGGCGTAAACTACATTGAGTTTTTATTGTGGATTACTTTCCACAAAAATATCACCCATCGAATTAAAATTAAAAGGCTGAATGATATTTTTGTGGAAAATGGTCGCAAAACATCACAAAATAAAAATATTTTCGTTCCCAAAAAAATACATGCAACGAGATAGCAAACTTTAGAGCAACATACCAAAATCGGTTTTTTTCTCAATTTTGAATGTGAATATTTTAATACCTGTAGTTTTGACATTAAATACAATAACATTATAACGGCATTAGATTGTTACTTTATTTTAGGCGTCAAAATTTTCGACACTTGACGGTATTGTTTAAAGATTTTTCAATACTTTTTGAAAACGTCATCTACCACTTGCCATGATCTTTAAAAAAAACGTATTAGAAATGCAAAATTAAAATTCATTATGCCGCTTTGGCAGTAAAAATGCCAATATCACAGTATTGAAATTAAACAGTTGAATGGTATTTTTGTGGGAAGTAACTGCCAAAGGATAGTACAAACTACTTATTAAAAAAAATACTTTGGTATATATTATTATACCAAACAAAAATTCGAATTTTATGGATAAAAATTATAAAAATTTTATACGATTGGAAAACTGGAAAATATTCTTTGTTAAACTTGCATACATACATACATACATATATTTATCTAAAAAAAACATGAATGTAGGTACTGTCAAATAGGTTCTTTCATTTTTATATACACATAATGTATATACATACATATAAAATATTTCTTTTTTAATTTTTGTTCTTATTGTAGGTTCTGTATTCCTCAATGCCATCAGTTGCGTACTTTAACCAGATGATTTCGCATGGAAAATTTTCAAGTCGCGGTGCGGTTTATAAAAATTTTATTTTTCTGAAAATATTTTAAGAATTTATCATTAAAAATTATGAAAATAAAATAAGTAAAAATATAATATTATAAAATTTATTTTTCAATTAAAATAAATAAATTTATTAAAATATTTCACCTCAATTTGGTGAATTTAAAATTTCAATATAAAAAAGAAGAAAAATTTTTTTTTTTAAAGTCGTCAATTCTTTAACAAAAAAAAAACATAAAAAATAAAAGTGAAAATAAAAAAAATTATTGGATTTTGAATAGAAGAGAATTTTTGTAAGGATTTCAAATATTTTGTATTGCATAAAATATTATTATATACCTGCATACATATATTAAATTGCCGGCGATAATATAGAGAATTTTTATTGTTTTTTTTTTTTTTTTTAAATTTTTAATTAAATTTTATTTAATTTAAATGGATTGATTTTTATATTTATTTAAAGTTTATGTAATAAAATATAAGACGTACATTTTAGGGCAAAAAAAAAATTTTTTTTTTCAAGAAAACAAAAAAAAATAATAAAAGTAAAGGAAAAAAACAAAATACGTTTAAGGGAAAATTCAATTTTTTCTGTTATTTTTTCTTTTTTTTTTTTTTTTTTGAAATAAAAATACAAAAATATTCCTGCGCAATCTCTTAAATTGTATTTTTTTTTCCATTGTATAATATTGTACCTTAAAAAATCAAAAAACAACAACATTGACACAAAAGAACGTAACTTTTCTGATTTTTCGTTTAAAAATATTATTCAAAGGGAAAATATATATATACATACATGCATATATTATATATGTACATATAGCAGGAAATTTCAATTTACTTATCAAAAAGAAAAAAGAAAAATTTTTCTACCTTAAAAATCTATAAATACACCAATTTAACTTACACAACAGTTAATAACTATGCACTTATTTAAGTACATACATATATATATATACATACGTATATGAGTGTAAGGGCTTATATATATATGTATATATGTAGCTAAACTATTATAATATTGCAATTAACTATTATTAAAATTTAATTTTTTATAATTTATATTTTTTATTTCATAAAAATAGAAAAAGAAAAAATTTAAAATTATTTAAAAACTCCTAACGAATTCATAATCACGTTTATATTTATATAAATGTACATATGCATATGTATATAAATGTATATGCATAAGTATGGATATACATGTGTTATCATAAAATTTTCTAAATCTTTTAAATTGTACATTAGAATTCAATCAGTTTACCAAAAATATTGTAATAATTTCTTTAAATTTTAAATAAACAAAATAAATATGGGGTCGCATTCATAAATATTACTATATAATATTTTAATTTATTAAAATAGCAAAATTAAATTGGTACATAACAATAATAAAAAAATGTATGTTTTTCAAAATAATTTTTATTAAAGAATTTAATAATTAAAAAATGCTCTAAATTTAATAATTATTACATTGCATACTTTATTTACTCTTTATTTAGTATGCTATTCAATTCCAATACTATGTATGTGAACATAATAATGTTTTTGAGTGCCTACATCAAATCCATTTAAATCGTAATGAATGAGCGAAAACATACATATATTATGTAGGCATATAAGTACATAATTTGTACATATAATAATGTATGTAAATGAAAAATTGCAAAACAAAAAATTTGTATGAAAATATTTTTTTAATTATTTTCTTGTTATTTTTGTTTTTTTTGTTTGTTATCAAAACTATTGTAATAAATGCACCCACAAAAGTAAAAGATAAAAAGAGCTACCAAAATAAGAAAGAAAAAAATAATTAAAGAACTGGCAAAAAGACGAAAAAAAAATTGTCAGATAGAAAACTTGAAAAGAGCAAACAAATAATAATTATACTGAAAGAGAGAACAAAAAATAATTATATAGTTAAACAGTACATACATACGTACAAACACACATTATAATATCCGCACAAATTTTAGCATAATGAGATTTTTAAATGTCATACCAAAATAATATATATATATGTTTGTATGTTGTATTAACTTATACTTACATTTAGTTTGCATAACATGATAAAATAACATAAGTATAACATTAAGAGTATAACAACTAAAAGTAAAGTAAATGTAGAGAATTTTGGTATTTTCGAGAGAACCCAATATATATATACTATATATATCTATATATAATGCATGTATATATTATGTACTTATTTGATTTTAACATTGTGTAATAATAAATCTTTTTTGCTCTTGTTTAGTTAACAGACTAATGAATAATATTCGCTTTTAACAAAAGGAAAAAATAAAGGGGGACAAAAAAAAAAAAACAAAAATTTATGATACAAGTACAAAGTTTGTTTGCTTTTTTCATATTTAAATTTTTTTTTTTTCATTTTGTTATCAGTAGCAGTACTCTTTATGTTCTGTAACATTTTTATTAGGTGTACACTTTATTTTTTTTTTTTTTTTATAAATTTAAATGTTATTTTTCTTTACAAAGTGTGTTGCTTTAATTATACTATGGCTGATATACAGAACTATTTAGATATAACGGTTGAAATTATATTGTAAAATTAAATTAGAAAAATTTAGTAAGATATAAAACTAATTTCAAAACTAATATACATGTGTATATATGTATGTATGAATATAACATGAAATATAATTCTTAAGTAATAAAAAATAATACAATAGTGGAAATGCTTAAGTTAAATTCACATAATTCAGTATATATAACGTATATAACAATATCTGACACAGCTACATGTATGTAATCAATAATAAATAGTATTAACTTACATAATAATATGTACATAATATATAACACTCAAAATTTATGCGTTATAATTTTAAAAATAAAAAAAAAAATTCCAATTTATAATAATTTCTTATTTCAAAATTGCAGCAAAAAATATTGAATACAATAACAGAACTATGAAAATATAACAGTTTAATAAAATGTAAAATTTACCAATTTTATTTAATTAGAATATGTTATATTAGACAAGTATGTATACAAAAGCTCTGTCTACTTCCAAAAAATATATATATATATATATATGCATGTATATATGAATACCCCATAAATACTTATAATAAATTATATTTATACTAAAATCCATTTTGTAAAGTTTCCTTTTTCTTTACAGAAAATGTACCTACTAAAATATATTTACATATTTGCATATAATAATATATTATTGTAGGTAATATTATGTACCTTCAAATTTAATGAAATTTTTTTAAGTTACTTCTTATTGACAAAATTTTATGTAAGCGCATTAAAACTGAAAATTTGTTAACATATTAGATATTGCAGCAAAACATGTAAATTGATACATGTGTATATATATATGTATTACAAATACATATTATTATCATGTATATGATAGACACTTACATACCATATGGAAAAAAAATTATTTTTAAATAATATTGTCACAGGGTCTCTCACCCAATAACAAAAAAAAATAAAAAATAATTTTTTCTTTTTCGTTTGACAGCAAATTCTGGTAACTAGTCGCTTGCGTTGCACAGAGTAGGGTGGGGGTACTGTAGGGTGGGCGGGAAGAAATTACTTAAGCAAAAAATTAAAATTTTATCTATCGTATCGTACCTATTTTTTTTCTTTTTTTTTGTTTTTCTTTTGTTGTTCTATCCATTATTTTTTCTGTGTTTTTTCATTTTTACATTTCTTTTTTTTTTTATTTTGTTTTTGTATTTTTTTTTTTTTGATAAAATTTTAATATATACTTATGTATTTACTTTTTCAATTTCTCTTTCTTTTTTTTTTATCAAAGGAAAGTGAAATATATGTATGCTAAGAAGTATTAATAATATAATATTGTACATATGTAATAATAAAAATAAAAAAAAAATTAATATTATTTTTCAGTAAAAACACATTATAGTTTTATTATTCATTTTAATAAATAAAAAATAATTTTGAAATAAAAAAAAAATTAAAAAGCAAAATATTGATTGTAAAAGAGAGAGAGAGAGAGAGAGAAAAAAAACAAGAAAATTTTATTTATTGTTTACATACATTATATAACATAACAATTGTGTATAAATATTTTGATAAAGAAAAGAATAAAATACAAGAAAAGCAAAAGTCAAAGAAGAAGAAAAAAACGAAAATAAAGACAAGAATTTAATAACATCATATAAGAAGAAGGAAAGGTCATCATTTTTGAACAATGTAAGTAAAAAGTAACAAACTAATATTAATATTTCATTTTATACATAATAAATAAAAAAAAAATTATTATAACAGTGCATGTAAGTAACATACATACATACATTTATTAAATTATTTTTTACACATAAATTTTTTCATTTTACAATTTTACATTTTTCAAAATTAAATTTTCTTTATGACGGAATATTATTTGTCCACTTCTCTTATTTACTAAAATAATAATACGAATTCAAAAAGAGTAAGAATATGAATTGTTGAAAATATTTAGGGCACAATACATAATATATCTGTGAATGGTATGTATGTATATACATAGGAAAAATGATTATTTATTTGAAAAAAACAACACGCATTTATAAAATTTTTTCTTTTTCTTTGAGAATTTCCCTTTATATAATTTTTTTTTCATATGTCCATTATGGGAAATTTAATTTATAAATTAGAGGACAACAGCACTATATATATATATATATATACATATTATATATGTATATAATTTCAATTGCATATATATATGTATACAGACCATTGATCACAAAATATATAATTATGAGCTGCAAGCACATTCTACAAAAATTTTCCTTTCAATAATTAGTAAACTGTTATATTTTTGAGCAAAATATTTATAAAATTGCTATTTTTATGTAAGCATATAAAATATTCTTTATTGTGAAACGGGTTATACTTATTTTGTTTATATAAGTAATGAGGAAGTCAAATGAATCTAAATTTGACTATTAAAACTTGATGAGTAAAGAAAATCAATTAGATAAAAGTCCTGTTATTTTACAAGATGTATTTTATTTACAATACGCTCTTAATATTATAAAATGTAATTTTTTGCATACTTTTAAGAAATCTCTAAAAATTGAAATTTTGAAAGGCTATTACTTTGGAGTTTGAAGAGGTAGATATTAAAATTTGGAAAATTTTGTTCAAATGATATAAATCACACTAACTAATGACTACAAACTGTTGATTTCAATCTACTATAATAACCGAGAGAAAGATCGAGGATTTAAAAGACGATATTTTCCCTACTTCTCTTTTAAGGCGTGTAAAGATTTTAGACAGACGTGTGCACGGATGAACCGAATGTCTAATAAATACATTTTTTTTGTAAATTTTCAAAAGTAGAGCAAAGGATGCTAAATATTTGAATTTCTTGTCGAATCCATTTTCATAAACACTTTTTATTTTTATAATTAGGTTTAACTATCTTAAAGTCCATTAATTAGAACATAAAAATTATGACATATAAAAACAAAATGTATTCCTCATATTATACTCATAGCTTTTATTTTTTTTGGAAAGTACTAAAAATCGATAATAGAACCAATAAGTATATATTAATAATAATAAAAATTATTCACAATTTACAAAGAACAAAGAATATTTTCCATTTAGAAAATTTATTTTATCAGTAATGTTACTATAGTTTTAGTTTTGAAATAAAAAAGAAAACTTCTAATAGATAAAGTTTGAAATAATAATTTTGAAAATTTAACGAGGACGTAAAACAATGCAAAATAACCAAAAAAAAAAAAAGTTTCGGTAAAAATTACAAGTGGTTTTTGTTTTTGTTTTTTTGTTACTTAATCTAAAAGTGTTTTAATGAATCACGGCATTGGAACGTTAAAATATTTTGATTATTAAAGAAAACTCTTATACAATAGATAATAAAAATGTAGGTAAAAAATTTGTAAATTTTGTTGTGTGACTAATAACAAAGACGACATTGTTACATATTTTTTTTTGACTCGCATCAATTTAATGAAGTATAATAAAAGAAATGAACAGATAATTATTGAAATATTGTTGAATATTGTAAGATAATAAAATGTTTGAAAGTTTTTCAACTAAAACCTATAAAATATGAAAGGATATCGTATAACGTTTTTTTATTACGAAATATATTTAAAATATATACTCGTATATAGCTAGAACTTGATATCATAAAATTTTGAGACGATAAAATAAATTTTGATTGATAAAACCCCAAATATTGAAAACTTTTTAGATATAATAACTCCCACGACTTTTATTTGCGAGGAAAAGTGTAGAGCTTGAATATGTTTTCAGCCACTGCTGTCTGTATATATGACTAATATGATGTTTGCGTGCAAAACAAATGGTTCTTTATATTAGTGCAATGATCTCAAATGCTTAGAAAGCGATTTCAAATCAGATGACCTTGTAATTCAATTGACAGTTTCTTCTCTGGTAAATATCATAAAATTTTGATTGATTGTTGTTATCATTGTATGCGATCCTTTTAAAAGCAACTTGTTCGGATTTATATTATCGACGAATGAGTAAATTTTGAGTATTTTGTTTACATTGCGAATGAAAACCTCACATTCCCCCAGAAGGTATATACAGGTTTCATTACCCTCCTTACTAAAACTACAAGTATAGTTATTTTTCAGATACTGCTTCTGAGGTGTTTTTTGAGCCTGTCCGATCCCCCATCTCTCATCGTAAATTTTTAGCTTTTTTTCCGAAATGTATTTGCTTCAACTAAGTAGTCTAATTTCCTTCATGTTTATTGGTTTAGGTTTTGCCTCATATATCGATTTCATACACCCTTGCTCAATGTCCTTTCCGGCTTATGTACCGCTATGTCCAACGGGTTTCATTGATCTGGATTCTCGGTAAAAATATCCACGTACCCGTTTTCAAACAGGTTTTTAAACATAATGCAAAACAAGTTTATTTATACAGAAATAAATTTTGATGATTCAAGTACTAATCCATATAAAGTGGTGAATTCTTCTTCATTAAGGAATATGTGTGAGGGCAAAAGTTATGCATACATATAAACGAAATATTTCATTAATTCAATTTATATTTCATTTATATTAATATAATGAAAAATTTTTAAGGTGCAAATTTTTATTTTATGAAAATTTCCAATAAAATTTGTATAACTGTAATTATCATATATGTACAATTGTATTTTACATATGTGTATATGTAAAACACAATATGTATTTTACATATGTGTATATGTAAAAATTTCTGTAATGCTAATTTTATTCCATTTCATAGTTTCTTTTCTCATTTTTTTCTTCTATTTAATTCGGTATGTGTTTTTTTTTTTAAATACATTTGCATATTATTTTGTTATCCTTATTTAATCACATTTAACAGCTACTAATCCAGTATATGTACATATATACTTATAAATAATTTTAGTAAAAACGTAAAAACTAAATTCAATCTCTTATACAATAAGCTCTAATCAAAAAATATATATATATATATGTATGTATATATTAAAATATTTATTTCTAAATTCTAATGTCTATATGCCCTAATAACTTTACACATGTAAGTGAATATAAAATTTTTGTATAAGTGCGATGATATTAATTCTGTATAGCTTATATTATAACAAAATGTTAACATGTATTGGGATGGAATAGGTCATAAAATTACTCCTACACACGTGTTCTGTTAATAAAAATTTCTTTTTTTTTTTTTTTTTGGTTTTGTATTGTTGTCATTTTGAATTTTGGAATTAATTTTCAAAATATTTTTCAATCCATACATGGAATATATTTACATAATAATAACAATTTACTTAAGTGTATCATACACATATGTATATATATCTATGTGGTATATACATATGTGTTACTTAAATCCTTAAAAATTATCTTTGGTAACACCATATTATTTTGGAAAAAAAAAGAGAAAATATTTTGGTCGTAGAAAATCTTGCGCATGTTTTTCTTTTAATTTTTTTTTTGTTATTTTCTTTCTTTAAACTAACACGTGCATTATTCGGCTATATACATAGAAAAAAATATTTGTAATACACATATAATTTAAATACATACATATACGTATTTGTATGTATCTTGTTACTTATTGTATATGTGTGTAGTGACAGAGGATTTATAGTAAGAAAACAATTTTAACATACTGTTAAATATTCTTCGTCCGGCTGGATTCAAATATAGATTTAAGTATATGTATATGGAAGTATGTAGGTATTTGTGAATTTTATATCATTTGGAATGTTATACCTTCACTAGAATAAGAAAAGTGGCTTTTCTTATTAGAAAACAGGAAAATTTTTGTTTTTAAATTAATATACACACATATACTAGGTAAATACTTTGGAGATTTTTGAATAAAATTATCAGTTATATTTTGTTGTGACAAACATTTTTTCTTCTTAATGTGTATGTATTCAAATCGTGTATATAATTAAGTAGATAAAAGTGTATATATACGTAAATTTATGCACAGTTAGTTTACAAATACCTGAAATATTTTGTGGTATTGAAAATTATAGTCACAATTATTGTGAAATTTTTTTCTGCGTATTCTTTTGTAAATTCAAAAAGCCACAAATACATACAAAATAGACAGCTGACACTTGAAAACGTCCTTGACAATTATTTTTTTCTCTTCCTTTCAAATATATTTTTTGTTTTGGTTATTTTTTCATGTTTTTTTTTTTTTTTTATTTTTGTTGATTTTTTTTTAATTTTATTTTTTTTTATTCTGTTATACATAGAAAAGAATTTTTTTTAATTATTTTTTTTTTTTTGTATTTCATTTTAATGTGAGTGCATTGGAATATTCATTACACATTTGTGTGTGTATGAATGTATGTATATATTTATATGTAATTATATATCGTATATGTGGTCGCATTAAATAATATTGTAATGTTTGTTGAAATAGTAATCAAACTAAAAGGGTTGCCAAATATTTTAAATTTTTTTCCAAAAAAAAAAGTTTATTTTACATATTTTACATTTTGTTCTTCAATATTGTAAAACTAGTATTATACGAGCAATACTTATATACATTTAATAATAATATACAGTGGAATATCTTTTATATAATACGTGTATTTACATATAAATATAGAATTTGTTTTCCAAAAAAATTTTTTTTATATGAAATAATTAAATAAAACTGAAATTGAGTATTTTACCGTTTTATAAGTAAAAACAATGAAAAATAAGTAAATGAAAAAT